AGATTTTTAAAAAATAAAAAATAGTAAAAAATAAAGAATAAAACTCTTTGCCTTTCTTGAAATAGAGTCTTTGTTTTCTAGTTTTTTGCTGTGTCCATTTGCTGAATAAAAAATGCAGGCAAAAGCAAGTGTATTTTTGTTATTTTCCATGTCAAGGTAACTGTCTAGTCATTCTTTAATTTCCGTTCTTGAAATAGATCCAGATAAGGACTTTTCCCTAAAAATCTCCACTTTTGATGTTCATTTTGTTTGTGTTTGTCTTAATTCTAGAATGTATTACATTTTCCCTCATTAATTATTTGTCTCAAATTGGTGATTGATTCATAAATCATGTTGCAGTGTTTTGTGTTCTCATGCGGCAGGCCTCCGAATATTTCCAAAAAAAATGCTCTTTTGATACTGTTTCTTGATTTAATTTGCTTTGAGAAGCATTAAATTGTATATATTGAGTGTTAGAGCATAACTTTGTGAAGATAGACATTTTGATATTGTGACTTTGCAAAGGTATGAAAGTTCAAATCTCGTGCTTAGTTATTTGTCAACATTAATTTTCTTGTTCCGTGATGTAATCGTTGAATTCAAATCGTTTCAGTTAATGCAGTTGTTCCTTGGTTGTTGATTGTAATTGTAATCCTCAGGTACTCTTCTAAACAGGTTTAATATGCTATCTAGAATTTTATATGATTTGTGTTACTTCTAATTTCATTATAGTCAGCCATTAAATTGAGTATGCGCATTTTAAATATTTTTATGTAACATTTGGAATCAATATGATTATTACATTGGTACACCTCCCGTTTATATTACTATATGATTTTTAGTGATTTGAGTAAATTTTTTGCACCATTGAAAAAAAGGTTCAATGATATTTAGTGTGATTTATAATACAACAACTTGGCTTTTGCCCTTTTGTTCCCTCGGGGCTAAATGGCCAAGGTTTGTGAATGTTCGAAGACAATGGTAAACAGCACGGTAAACCTATAATAGACCTTTTATTTTGAAACTTCATGTTATGCTTTAATCTTAATCTTTTTTACTATTCACTACTTGACATAAGCTATTGTGTTTGATGAGTGCAGTAGAGTTTTTCTTTCGTACGATATGTTTGTTTGGAAGGAAGCAATGAAATCGGATATCAAGCTTCAACAATCTTACCGTGTACCTTTCTCTACTCGGCAAATCAAGTATATTTTATATCCTTTAGAATTGTAAGATTTTTTTTTTTTTTTTNTTTTTTAAATAGCAGTAAGGCATTCTTATGTAAGATTCCCACTTAAATTTACAGGATCATGGATGTAGTTTAAAATAATAGTATGAAATTGAAAAAGATGAAACATCTTAGCTAGGTTGCTATCTTCTGGAATGTTCTAAACAGGTAAACCTAGTGAAATATTCTTTTACCACTATTCTTGGAGTTCTGAGTTCATTATTCGATTTGCAAATCTGATCACATTTTTTGGAGGATGAGAGACTGTTTACCACAAATGAGTTTCAGGTTCATTCTTACTACTTTATCATTATACAACTTAGTGTAATTAACTAGGCTAGATTTGATGGAAATATCACATTGAAGTTGAGAATCGACAGAGTCCTTAATTATGCTTGAGTCCTCAAATTTTTATATTACTGGAACTTAATAAATTAAAACGGCGTTCCGGTATATATCTCAATCACCAAAATACTCAAAACAATTGAAACTGTCGAGTTATTGGAAAAAATCATTGCTGGAAGCTCCATCTATCTCTCTCCCAAGTTCCAGTTATTGTTGTATTGTAGCAAGAGCTTTTTATTGAATTCGGTACATAGGTGCACCCGTAGTTTTTATGACGAGTCTATGTAAAAACGACATAGTTGTTGGTGGTGATTTTGTGAAAATAGTTGTGAGTATATGTACTTTTTTCCTTTCAAAAACCTTGATGTTTTTTTAGTTCTTGAAGTTACATTAGTTGTGGCCTGATGAAAAACTATGGGATCTATGTTCCCAGCTAGATGGATCTATTATAAGATTTCTCATTTATGGTTTGCTAATGTTCCACATGTGCTATTGTTAACTTGAACTCAAAAACATTCTCTAATGGCTTAGCTTACTGAACTTCCAAAGTAGACTGAACTATTTTTTTTAATTGAAATGAAGATTATACCAAATTAGTTTGCCTTATGAACACATTTGACATATTATTGTTAGTTAATAACTTAATATATATCTGAAGTGTTTAAATTGTCGAATTAGTGTCCATGCCATTATTGTTAGTTTTTATACTTCAGTGTTTGAATTGTAGAATTATTTATTTTTGTCGAATTATTCTCCACATTCTTTTAAATTCTCCAGATTCAAAGTTTTTGAATGTTTTTGTTGAATTAATGTTTTGACAGTTAAAAAACTAGTTGCAATATAAGTACAAATGTTTCCGTTAAAAAAAATAGTTGGAATATAATCTGTTTCGGAAGTAGATGTGATTTTGCAATTTTTTTTTTATTCTCAAACTCCCAATTTTTTTTTGTTATTCACAGACTCCCACAGTACCACGTTGAACCTTATCTGGTTATGGCATTTTTTACCTCATTTATGACTGATAAAATATTTGTCCTTGTTTGTTATTTGTCCTTGTTTGTTTGTATTTTGACTTAATGATAGCATTTTTTAAATTAATGAAAAGATATAATTTTATATTTTGAAAGTAGGGAAAAAAACTGAAGCATTTGTATATGTTATTGACGTTTGGATTTTTATCTATCTATGTTTAGTTTTTATAATTTCAACGGATATGATTTTTCAAAATTATGAGCCTTTGATAAAAACATTCTACATATACTTCTACAATTTTTCAAATACCAGATATTAGTACAATTTAAATGACAAATCTTCCTGCATTTATCATTTTATGTAAATATGTCTCTTAATTATATTACAAGAATTTGCTTAAACCAATGTCTTTAAATAAATTTAAAAAAATAAAAAAAATATTTGATGTAAAGTAAAATATAAAGTATAGAATTGGAGATCGAATATGAATTTGGATTAGCTCTACTCTAAGTAGAGTAAAAGTATGGAAACCGATTGAACATTGAAGATGGTTTAAAGTTAATAAAAAAATAATAATTGAATAATGTTCATTTTCCAATAATCATGAGCACGGATATTTTGTGGAAATAAATGCATTTTTGCTCCAGTAATTCTAATTATTTTCTATTTTTATTCACTAAATTTTCAGGGTCGTGGTTTCCTAATTTTGAATTGTTAATTTGGTCCAATTCTTATGCAACCCGCTGGAAGAAGGCCCGAAATGTCCAATTCTTATGGTCCAATTTGTTAATCTATACTTATATAAAAAGTCATCCCATTTACTAGAATTAGTAGGAAGAAAGTCATTTCATAATTAATTGCATACCATATTTAGAAAGTTTTAGAGATTTTAAATCATAAAATAGGGTAGTATTAAATGCCCCAAAATTATGGGTTTTGTTGAATTTATTTTTGAAAATTTCAACATATATTGAGTGAATATGAAATTTAAAATCTCTTCTCATTTTATTTTTAATAAAATCTCCATCCAAATTTACGTGTGGTTTTGAAGTAAAAATTTGAAATTCAAAATCTCTTCTCATTTTAGTTACAAGAAAATCGGGCTGCATTCAACACTTGGACCAATTTAAAAATTATTCCTCAAATGAAGGAATTTATAGATATTTGTTATCTCTACTCAATCACATGATTAATTTCAATATAAAAAGAGACAGATTACAAATTAGTGAATCATATATTACCTAATTCAATATCTTAACATTAAGGAATAAATCCATAGTATTATGTAAATCCGTATCTCATATTATTATATCATTAAGAATATATTATAGTTATACTATCAAATCATAAAAAGATATTAAATCCATATTGTAAGAAAAATAATTCATATAATTTTATAACAATTCTACTACACTATTTAACAGTATTTTTTTATTGTATAATAAAATAATAATTAAATATTATATAGTAGTAAAACTGTTACTTTTTCTTATATCAAGGGATAAATTTATATGCTAAAATTAAATTTTTATTAGTATAAATATTTTAGTGAGATAATATATTAGTTATTTTATAAGCTAGCCCTAACATGCTCATATTTAATGTTCTGGCTAAAAAAAACGCTGGTTAAAAGATGTGGAAAAAAACTTATAATAACCCTATTGTTTTTTAGACTTAACGTTGATTAAAAGAAGTAGAAAATAGATAATAACCCTATTATTTTTTAGACTTAAACGGACAAGTGTGTGAAAATAACTCATTTAATATCTCTAAGAGGTAGAAATAGATAATAACCTTATTATCTTTTAGACTTAAATGGTTAAGAGTGTGAAAATAATTCATTTAATATCTCTGTCCCTTGCATCGCACGGGTTACGTACTAGCTTTTAATAAAAACCCAACCAACCAAGGAATATTGACGTGGCCCAAACCTGGCTGCTTAGAAAGTCCAATAGCGAAATAATAATAATAATAATAATAATAATAATAATAATAATAATAATGTTGGTAACTCGATTCCCCAAGGTTCAAGGTTCGAAGATTAGAATATAGAGTTCCACACAATGAAAGTAAATCCGTATCCCACACATGTAGAAGAACAATGATGAAAGTTTATCATTGATCGAGAAAATAAGCTCTTGGAAATGTACAATGACTAGAAGAACATAACCAGGAAGGAATTTTTTTTTTTTTTCTTTTTATGGTTT